AAGCACCTACTTAGAACAAGCTAAGCAAAAGCACAGGGACCGCGGTTCAATCCCCAGCACCACATGCCAGCCAGCCCCGCCCCCTGGTGGGCTGACTGGCCACACACACACAAAATAAATAAATAAATATTTAAAAAAAAATTGTGGGGCAGGAAAATAAAACAATACTGGGCAGAAGAATTAGGATTGTGGAGAATATGGGGGTTGAAACGTCCACAGACTCTGTGTTACCCTGTAGGTAGGCCTTGGGGTTGATTTGCATGAAATAGAATATCAAGGGCTGTGAGATTGCACAGTGGCTTAAGCCCCTACAGGGCAAGCACAAGGTTCAGAGTTCGATGCCCAGTACTGCCAAAAAAAGTTGAACCAACAGGTTTTGTGTGTGTGTGTGTGTGTGTGTGTGTGTGTCAGAACCAGGGATTGAACTGAGGCCCTTGCGCTTGCCAGGGAAGCGCTTATTCCACTGAGCCATCTCCCCAGCCCCTATTACTTTTTTTTTTTAATTACATTATTACTGTTTAAAAAAAAAAGTTGGGGGGCCAGGGAGATGGCTCAGTGGAATAAGCGCTTCCCTGGCAAGCGCAAGGGCCTCAGTTCAATCCCCAGTTCCAAAAAAAAAAAATAATAATAATAATTTTAAAAAACTATCGAGGAGTTTCCGGTTTCTAGGAGTCATGGGGATGTCATTGATGTCCATAAGCTATCAGGATTGAGGAAGTGATTCAGATAAAGTTGGGTTGTCCATGAGCCGAGGATGGAGATCTGGGTGGAGTGGATAAGCCGGGGTGTAAGTACGACGGAGGGCGGAAGAGACTAGCAAACCCTAGATTTAGAGCCTTTGTTCTCCGCCTCAGGCTAGGGGGCGGACACATGGAAGTGGGTCAGCCACGCCCCTGCGCGCAAGGGCGGGATACTGAAGACGGATCATCTAGACCAATCAGAACACCCGGCGCCAGTGCAAGGTAAGGTGCGTGACGTAGTTAGGCCCGACCCCCAATCATGAATACGAGGCGTGGACAGCTTTCTCCGGCGCCTGGGATTGGCCCTCGTAACGCAGGGGGCGGGCAGAGCGGGCGGGGCCCGGCGGCGGTGTATATCTGACACGGCTCGGGGCGCCCCCCCTTTCACTCGCGCGTTAGGAGGCTTTGGTCGGTGTGCCGTGCCGTCTTTCCGCCCGCGTCAGGGACCTGCCCGACTCAGCGGTGAGGGCCCTGGCGGCACCGGCTCCGAGGGTCCCAGGGCGGCGGGCGGCCTTAGGCGCCCAGGCGAGGCGGGGCCGCAACGGCACGCCCCTGGGAGGGGGCGGTGCCGGGGCGGGCCCAGGGTTGGGGTCCGCCCGTCTGGCGGCGAGGGGCAGCGGGAGACCGGGCTGAGCGGAGGCCGGAAAATGTCCTCCCCTAACTCAGGCCCGGGACGCCGGTTTGGCGGGCGCTGCAGCAAAATGGCGGCGGCGAGTTCGAGGCATCGATGGCGAAATGGCGGGAGCTCCGAGTACCCGGATGGAGTGGCGCAGGGCGCGCGCCCAGCGCATGCGCGCTAGGGGGCGGGGCTCCAGGGTCGGGCTCTCAGCCTGCGGGTCCCGGGTGTCTGCGTCCTGTTGTCGCGCTCCCTGAGCCTCAGCTTGCCATCTTGCCGTCGAGATCGCACGTGGGGAAGGACGGCCGCGTCTGACTCGGCCGCAAGCGCTCAGTGCTAGTGTGTGTCTTTTTGAACCCCAGGTGTAACTCCGAGATGACACAGTCCCCCACACTGCCTCCACATCGTGTATTGGCTGTTCTTTCTCAACAGTTGGGCCGTAGTCGTCCTAGCCAATAAATGCTTTGTCTAAGTCTGCATGCCCGCCCCCTGAGTGGTCACGTTCAAAATGCCAGGTTCCCTGAGTGAGGCTTCTCAGTCTCTTGAGTGTATGTGCCCTTCCCCAGTCCCTGCTAGAAAGTGGGCATCTGGCCCAAGGCAGCATCTCAAGACTTGGTACACTCATTGACAGCTCCCTTGGGGCACTTTACAGTGATGGAGAAAGCACTCTGAAAACCCATACCTGCATCTTAAGCTCCTGGACAATTTAGGAAAACCTTGTGTCAAAATAAAAACTAGGTGTGATGGTACATGCCTGTATTCCTAGCACTCAGGAGCCTGAGGCAGGAGGATCATCCCAAGTTTGAAGCCAGTCTAGATCACATAGTGAGAGACTGCCTCAGAAAACAAAAAGGGTGCTGGAGAGATGACTCAGTAGAATAAGCACTTCCCTGGCAAGCACAAGGGTCTGAGTTCAATCCCTGGTTTCGCAAAAAAAAAAAAAAAAGGGATGTAGCTCGGTGGCACAAGAGGCTGGCTGGCAGTGCAAGGTTCCAATTCCATTCTTGGTACCACAAAGTAAATAAAAGGCCAGTAGAGGATTTATGGGTTGGATCTCCAGTTCCACACACAAAGCACTTTCTAATCTTATGTAGCATCCTGTGGGACATGGTTAGGTAGATCACCCCAGTAATATAAAAACAGTTATAGAAAGAAGCCCTTCTAAGGCAGGATTGTTTCGATTTCCAGCCATGTAAGCTACATAAACACGCCTCAAAAAGCAAAAAAAAAAAGTTCTTGTGAGTTACAGTGGCACATGCCTGTAATTCCAGCACTGAGGAGGCTGAGTCAGGATTGAGAGTTGGAGCCCAGCCTAAGTGATTCGGCAAGACTATCCCAGAATTAAAAAGTGCTAAGTATGTAGCTCAATGCAAAAGCCCTGAGCTCACTTTCCAGTAAAAAAGAAAAGTCTTTGTAGATTTGGAATATATTAAAACAGCATTGGAATTACTATTTCCCCCCGCAAGAATTTATTACTTATGTAAAATAGGAGTGGGCATGGTGAGAGACAAAGCTCTTTAACAGGTTCCAGCCAACTGAACCAGTGGTAATGTGTGACTGTCCCATTGGATGTCTGGTACCACTGGCATAGAAGTGAGACAGTTCTGCATGTTCTGCTAGTTTGAGCTGCCTGGCAGTGAGACGTAGGAACTGTGGCCCTGTCTTAGATGCATTAATAGCTCCAGTGCTGTTTGCCACAGGCTGCCATGGCATCAGATGAAGGCAAGCTTTTTATTGGAGGGCTGAGTTTTGACACCAATGAGCAGTCGCTGGAGCAGGTCTTCTCCAAATATGGCCAGATCACTGAAGGTGAGGTAGGGGAGCTGCCAGTCGGTGGGGCTGCCTGTGGGGCTGCTGAGCACTAACGATGGGTTTCTCCCTGCACAGTGGTGGTGGTGAAAGACAGGGAGACCCAGCGATCGAGGGGCTTTGGGTTTGTGACCTTTGAAAACATTGACGATGCCAAGGATGCCATGATGGCTATGAATGGGAAGGTGAGATCCTGTTGTGGGGGTGCCAAGGGTGAGCCCCACCTCCCAAGGACAGGGAGATGCAGAGGCTGACCCAGCCAACATCTGGTCCCAGTCAGTGGACGGGCGACAGATCCGTGTTGACCAGGCTGGCAAGTCTTCCGACAACCGATCCCGAGGGTACCGAGGTGGCTCTGCTGGAGGTCGGGGTTTCTTCCGAGGGGGCCGAGGCCGGGGCCGTGGGTTCTCCAGAGGTGAGTGTCTAAGTGCGCTGGGCTGTGGGTGTGGTGGGGTGCTGCTGGTGGGCTGACACTCATTCTTAACTTGTCTGACTCCTACAGGGGGAGGGGACCGAGGCTATGGTGGAGGCCGCTTTGAGTCCCGCAGTGGGGGCTATGGTGGCTCCAGAGACTACTACAGCAGGTGAGAATCCAGGAGCCAGGCTGGGCTGAAAAAGGCTCAGTGCTTCTGTGCAGAGTCCAGTGTGGGATCCCGGCTAAGGGGAGGATTCAGCAATGTTTGGAGCATCCAGATAAGCTCTGAGCCATATTCCCAGCCAGCTCTGGGTTGGCTGGCAGGGCTTTGGGAGGTGAGGGGGTTGTTGTACTATGCTATACTGGGGATGGAACCTAGGGCCTTCATATACTTGAGAGCTACATCCAGACTTTTTTTTTTAATGTATTTGGTACGGGGTCTCACTATGCAGCTTGGACTTGTAGTGATCCTTCTGTTTTCAAAGCCTCTCCAGCACTGGGATTACAGGCACAGGCATGTGCCACTACACCTAGTTTTAGTGCCAGCTCAGCACACCTGGGGAAAGGGCCAGCGCGGCCTCTGGTGCTGTGGATTGAACCCTGATCCCTGAGCTTGCCTAGGCAGGTGTTTAGTCTGCTGAGCTATCTCTCTGGTCCTTATTTTTGATTTTGAGAGAGGGTGGGGTTTTGGGGGAGGTTGGTGGTAGTGCTTCTGCTGGGGATCAAACCCAGGACCTTGTGCATGCAAGGGAAGAGCTTTACCACCGAGCCACTTTCCCAATCCCCGAGAACGGGTCTTAGTGAGTCCCAGCTGGAATTAGAGAGAGAGTGCAAGCATCTCACAGTGTAGTTCAGGCTGCTGAACTCATTGTGTAGCCCAGGCCTGCCTCAATCTTTTTTTTTTTTTTTTTTATTAATACAATGTTTATTTATCTTCCCTATCAAACCCTGAGCCAGTCACTTTCCCCAGGGAGCCCAGGGAAGTATATGGGAAGGAACACATAGGGCAGACAAGATACAGGAGAAAGAACTACGTGAGGTGGAGATGGCTCCTTTACATGGCGAAGAGGATGAGAAAGGCAACCATCAGGCAGAAGAGCCCCATGGCCTCCGAGAGGGCAAAGCCCAAAATGGCGTAGGAGAAGAGCTGCTGCTTCAGAGAAGGGTTCCTGGCATAACCAATGATTAGGCTCCCAATCCCAGCCCCAGAGCCAGCCACCCCAACTGTGGCAGCCCCAGCGCCAATGAACTTGGCTGCTGTGTCGATGTCCCTTGAAATGATGCTGGTTTGGAAGCTGCGGCTAGGGACAAGTGATGTCAGGGAACGAGGGACTGCAAAGCTGCTGTGGCTCTCTTCTGTTGTCGTCTTTGGTCTGTTCAGCACTACTGCAGACAGTGGTCGGCTCAGCAGCTGGGAGGTGCTCCTGACCAACGATGGGGTGGAGACAAATCTGGAGCTCGTGTACATTTTCAGGGGGTGAAGGACTGGCAGGAGAGCTGCTCCCAGGGCAGAGACGACGAGGAGGGGTGGGGGGGCTGCCCCTGCCTCAATCTTGGCAGTGATCCTCCAGCCTCAGGTTCCTAAAAGGCTGGGATGCCAGGCATGCACCACTGTGTTTGGCCTGCTGGCAGTTTCCAACATCCACTTCAGGTCAGCCCAGTGGCTGTTCCTGTCATGGGGAGTGGGTGTGAGACTGCAGCCTCGGTCAGCAGGTGCCCTCCATGGAGCACCCACATCTGTGCCTTTCCGCAGCCGGAGTCAGGGTGGCGGCTATGGTGACCGGAGCTCAGGGGGTTCCTACAGAGACAGCTACGACAGCTATGGTAAGTGCTGCTCCGAGGGTGCTGTGCTGTGTGGCCTGTGGTGGGAGCTCAGCAAACCCTTGTGCCCTCCCTCCACGAGCGGCTTAGGCTGGACACTCAGACCTTGTTACTGTGCTTGCCTGCAAAAAACAAGTCTGTCCTCTCAGAGCCATTCTGCCACAGAACAGAGCCGAGTCAGTGACGAAGGACAGGGCTGTGCAGGCAGTGTAGGTGCCCGCCTGCGCCGAGGGGGGAGGTGGCTCCAAGCCTGCACTGCCCACCTCCTGGGGCTGTGCCGGGCGGGCGTGGAAGCTGCATCCTGTCGCGTGCTTCAGCGCCTTTACACTCTGCCTGCTTCTTGTCCTCAGCTACACACAACGAGTAACAATCCTTCCTGCTCAAGACCGTCCTTCCATGGCTGTATATTTAAAGATTTTGGGAGCTGCGCTGAATCGTTGATGTGTAGTGAACACACCTCCTTGTATTTCCACTTTTGTAGTCATTTCTGTTCCTATCTTGTCAACCCTGCCTGACTGCTTCTGACCCCCGAGATGGCCTCATTATTAGACTTTTGCTTTTTAAGGAAGCGCCGTTTTTAAGGTTTTTGAAGGCGTTTTGAAAAGTATTTGAGTTTACTTATTTTGTTTTTTTTAAACCATGAACCATAGCTTTTTAAAAAATTATCGGGGGTTGTGTGATTTTTTTTTTTTTTTTTCTTCTTTGCAACTTTGTGGTGCTGGGGATAAAACTGAGGGCCTTGAATGTTAGGCCAACACCCTACCACTGAGTTGTGCCCCAGCTCTGTTAATGGATTTTTGGGTTTAGTTGTTGTTTTTACTGATTTTTTTTTTTTTTTTTTGGTGGGGTCACCCATGAAATTGGGTGCCTCGATTCATTTTGCTAAGGTTGAATGGACTCTGGATCCGCTCTTAGCCAGAAGCTGAGCAAGCTGTGGCTTTTGGGACTCCGTGTGCTGTTTGAGGGTAGCCTGGTAGGACAGCAGCCCGGCGCGGAGAGGCTGTCCTGTGCCAGCCGTGCAGCGCGCCTGCGGGACCGTGCAGAGGCGCTGAGGTTTTTGAAGACATTTATTTATATTGTCCTTTTTTTACCAGAAGACGTATGCATACTCCATCGATGTTGTATTTGCAGTGGCTAAAGGAATTCTTGTACTCAGTTTTCTTTGGCTTTACGAAGCCGATTAAAAGACCGTGTGAAATGAACCTTGCTCTTGACAATCTCCCTTCGTTGCACAACACACTCCGTGCTGCGGGCTCTCCAGGCAGACCTGAGCCTGCGTGAGCACGGAGGCCCGCAGAGCACTAGAGGAGGCTGAAGGCAGGTGCAGGGCTGGGGCAGGCCTGTGAGCCGCTGGCTGCTCTCCAGTTAGGTGAGGCAGCTGGGGGATGGGCGCGGGCAGCCCTTGAGGCTTGTGGTGCAGGCAGCAGGAGGGCTATAAGGGGCGGGCAGCTTAGCAGGGTCAGCGGACGCCCGGGCACCTGGCGCTGACCAGAGAGCCTTAGCTGAGCAGCAGGGCAGAGAGGGACGGCGCGGCGCCCTGGCGGACCCGGACCGGGGCTGGTAGCTAGCTCTGCTGTGCTTCACGAGTTCTGAGCGTTCTCTGCTAGCCTATGAAGCCGCAGCCTCGGAGGACAGACGTGTTGTGCGCCCAACAGAAACCTCTGAGATGCACGCTGCTCCCTTGGCTAGCGCCCCTGTGCCGCTGGCCCTGTAACTCGAGGTAACGCCTTCCGCTCGTGTCCGCATCCCTCCTTGTCCAGAGCTCTTTGAAACTACTGTTAACCACCCGGGGAATGTTCCTTTGACTGCTTTTTGGTTTTCCTTTTTTATTTTTACATATTTTGGTAATCAAGCTAGAACTCAAGTCAGGCCTGGCTGTGGGCCCCTCCTGCCTGCGGCCCGGCCCCAGCCTCCACGGTAGGCGCGATCCGCTTGCAGGACAGGGACTACCGAGCACCGCCTGTAGGATTTTTGCTGTCTTGAGCCCGCCTTTCCCGACTCCCGTGCAGCACTTTGGTGTCTCTGCACTCCAGGCCCCGTCCCTGTGGGCGGCCGGAATTGGCTGGGCCTTTAGGAGCTGTGAATGGTTTCTGGGCGGGGAGGGGCGCTCGGCCCAAGGGACTCAGGGTGACGTGGCTTTGCTTTTGCAGGGTGAAAGAAGCCCAGGCCGGACGCAGGGAAGGGCGGCGCTAGGTTGACGATGATCAATGATCGCAGTGATATCTCCAGAGGACTGAGCAGGGAAGGAGGCAGAGATGGCCGCCAGGGTGCCCTGTAAGTGCCGGGGGTGGGCGGTACGGGCGCCCTGGTCCTCGCCCCAGCTCACTGCTGCCCCTTGCAGGACTCATCCTTGGCCTGGAGTCTGCAGAGGAGCTGCGGGATGGGCTGCGAGGACAGCCAGAGACGACATCGGAGAGGGGCCAGTGAGGGCGGGGGCTGTGGGATCTGAATAAAGTCCCTGTGTGATGAGAGCCCAGTGTCTACTTTTGGGGGTCTAGAGGATTGAAGGATGACACCGCCTTGTGCAGTCACCTTAACCCTGACTGCTGGCGCCCGGGAGGGTGGCAGTGGGCGTGGGTGATTGGGCGAGTCCGTGGGCCGGAGTCGTGCCCTCGGAGGGCAGCCGCTGTGAGAGATTGGGGGGGGGGGGGAGAGACCTGCCGTCTGCGCACGTGCGGAGCGCACAGCTCAGCCAAAGCCACCGTGCGGGGGTGGTGCTGAAGGGTGCTTCCGGCCTCGAAGTCACGCCCTCACTGCCCATTGGCTGGCACTGCGTCCACGATCCTGACTGGCAGTCGCGTACGGGGGCGGAGCAAGGCCTCCGCTTCCGCCGGGCCATGGGGCTGCGCTCGCTGCTGCTGTTCCTCGCGCTTCTGTCGGTGCTGTGTGCGGCCAAGACCACTACATCTCCGTCGCCACAGCCCGCGCCGGCAGCACCTTCGCTGCCGCCCTCGCCAGCTAACGGGAGCCAGCCAGGAGCGCCTCACAATAGCACGCACAGTTGGCCAGCGGGTGCGACCGGCTCCCCTCTGCTACGCTCCTTCTTGGTGCTCACGGGCCTCGCTGGCCTGGCCCTTGTCTACTTCCTCTTCCGGGCGTTCAGGTGCGTCAGTTTACGCGGCCGACGCCCGCAGCAGCCAATCGGCGCGCGCTTCGAGCATCACGTGCTTGGGGCACGCGCAGGGTGGGGGGTGCTGTGACGCCGAGATCGTGGGGGATGGTCACGTGATCGTTATGTTCCGACCTCTGGGTGTCCGGCGGAGCTTGTGGTCCAGGCTTCTAACTCAACTGCAGCTTCCGTTTTAGTGCTGCATCCTTTTCTCCGGGCGAAACAGCTGAGGCCCGGGAGCAGTGTCGGGCCCCCGGCCACCTTCCCGAGGGTTTCGTCTCTCCCGTAGCGATGTTCGCAACCGCTTTCCCCGCCCGTTCTCTGGCCAGGTCCCCTGGCCGCCGGTGTACGTGGTCCAGGACTCTTGTACGCTAGCCTTCCCATTTTGCTTTTCTTCTGACCGACCTTGGAAGGGTCTTCACGACAATGCCCACCTGATAACTCCAGTCCAGCCGCTGCCCCCCCTCCCCCCGGTACCGGGGGTTGAACTCAGGGCCTTGCACTTGCCAGACAAGCGCTTATTCTACTGAGCTATCTCCCCGGCCTTCCAGTCGCTCTTGTAGCTCGTGAATTCCCACGCGCTTAGCTGACCGCGCCGCCATGGATCGCCTGTCAGACGCCCTTTTCTTGCCTACCTCCATGGCATCGAGGACGGGCAGGGACTTTGGTCTGAGATTCCCCTTTCATTAAGTGACTTGACCACACAACCCAGCTATGAGTCTTAGCCTCCAGCAAAGCGAGGGCGAGATCCGTATCTCCCTCTTGGAGTCTTGGCACAAAGAAAGGTGCCCACTGCTGTTACTTTCTGGAGAATAATCAGTAATCCTTGCTGCTGCAGGGCAGGAGTCCTGTGGGGTGGAGGGCAGTAGGGCCCGAGATCAGTGGCCACGTCACAGCCGCTGAGAGGGTGGATCTGCACCTTCTGTAGGTTGAGGAAACCACAGCGGAGGAGATACGGGCTCCTGTCCAACACTGAGGACCCCCGAGACATGGCCTCCCTTGACAGTGAGGAGGAGACTGTCTTCGAGTCAAGAAACCTGAGATGGTAGGGCAGCCCTGTTGGACTCCAAGGTCGGGAGTGAGGACTGGGTTGGGTGGCTGGAGGCCAAGGGTCAGAGGCTTGGTGCACAGGCCACTACCGCTGGCCCAAGCTTGTGACCCTCAAGATGTCCCAAGGTAGCCAAGCATGGTGGTACACGCTGTCATCCCAGCACTCTGGGAAGCTGAGGCAGGAAGATTTTGAGTTTGAGTCCAGTCTGGACAACTTAGAGCCCAAAATACACATTTTTTTATCTTTTTTTTTTTTCAGAACCGGGGATTGAACTCAGGTGCTTGCGCTTGCCAGGGAAGCGCTTATTCCACTGAGCCATCTCCCTGGCCCCCACACTTTTTTTTAAAGGCTTAGTGGGGCTGGTGAGATGGCTCAATGGTCTAAAGCACCTACTTAGAACAAGCTAAGCTAAACAAAGCACAGGGACCATGGTTCAATCCCCCAGCACCACATGCCAGCCAGCCCCGCCCCCTGGTGGGCTGAGCTGGCCACACACACACACATACACACACAAATAAATAAATTAAAAAAAAAAAAAAAAAGTCTTAGTAGTGTACCCCATTGTGTGTGTTTTTTTTTTTTTTTTTTTTTTTGCGGAACCGGGGATTGAACTCAGGCCCTTGCACTTGCCAGAGAAGTGCTTATTCCACTGAGCCATCTCAGGGGCCCCTTGTAGCCCACTGTGAAGACCATGGGTTCCATTCTCATTACTGAAAAATACAAATAATAAAGAGCTCTAGATCGCACCCTAGTGGACAGTGTAAGTGCCCAGATGCAGAGTTGGGTTGGGAAGGCCGGTTGCGGGGAAGGTAGCAGGACCGGGACTAGCATCTAGACTAGAGGACCAGCAAGCTAAAGGCCCTGAGGCTGGCCAGTAGGAGGACTGGATGGAGGCTCAAGAACCTTCCCAGCTGCCCACAGGATGCTGGGCCGCCAGGGACTGGCAGGCATGGAGACCAGGCCCAACCCCATTGCAGGGGGACACAGTGTAGGAGGCAGATTCCCAGCTGGCAACCCCCTTCCCTCTTAGTGGTCAGTGCATGTGTGTGTCCTGCTGGGCCCTCTTCTAACCCTGTCCCCTTCCCCTTCCAGATGCTGCTGTGAGGCAGGCAGGTTCCTAGGCACCACCGGGAAGGACAAGATGGCTGCCTTCCAGCTGCCACCCAGGGCCCCCATCATACCTGGATCCCCACTCTGCATACCACCACTGCCTGGCTGAGGGAGCCCTGTGGAAGCCAGAGCGGCCCAGCTGCTGCTACCTGGGACCCTGAGACTCCCAGACAGACTGAGTTGTGCTACTGCCTGCCCAGAGGACCTGGCAACCCTGCACTGAGGCCTGCTGGGCTGGTGACTGAGGTGCCTGTTGGGAAGCCCCTACTGTGGGGCTGTTGATAATAAAGGAAACTGTGGCTCTGCAACAGGGGCCAGCCTCAGCTTGACTCCACCTGGGGCCACCTGGCTGGGTGGGTGAGAGGTGGGCTAGAGTGTCAGTACTGACACCAAGTAGGGCTGCTGCCACTGTCCTAGCTTTCTACACAGTCAGCTGATGAATCTCGTGTGGTAGACAAAGGTAGGGAGAACTTGTCTCCAGTTGTCTAGCACAAGACTTTGCCTGTTATTTGTTTCTAGAAAGAACTCCATTCCTCACAGTCCTGGTCCAGGTCTCAGCTCACCGGTATTTTTGGTGGGGTGGGGGTTCTAGAGGAGCTAGGGCTGTGATGTGAATGAGGGAGTCATCAGCCTGAGCCCAGGGCAGTGGCCCCTTGTGGTTCCCATGTGAGCCCCTAGGTGGCGCTGGCTCTGGCCTATCCGCTTCGGGAATCGTCTCTGTTATGTGGTGTTGAGGCGCGGTCACCAGGTGGCAGTGTCGAGCCACCTCGGCGCATAACTCCCCGAGCCAAAAGGCCACCCAGCCTCAGGTCCCGCAAGTGGACCCTGTTTCTCCAGCGCCGCATGGCACGCACTGCCTCAGAAGAGCTTTCCAGGTTTGTTTACCTTCAAGCCTTGCCCTTTCGTCCGTCTCCTCCAGCCTGAGCCTGGATCCTCATGGGCAGGGGGCCAGGCTGGACTGACCCCCTTGGGGCACTGGCCTCCCTTTTCCTGCAGGCTCGGGAATGCGCTCAGTGGGTCCTATGGGGAGGCTGGAGCGGGAGGCCTGGACCCCTTGGCTTCTGTCCATCTGCCCCCCCCACCCCTCCAGAAGGACCTGTGGGGACCCATTCAACAGGCTGGAAGACACCGTCCCCGCCCCCAGCCTGTGATCTGCGACCCTTCCCATGGCCCTGAGCCATCCATCTCTGGACTTTGAAAGACACGATTGTGGGCCAGCAAGATAGTTAAGCAGACTAAGCGCTTGCTTAGGCAAATGCAGGGACCTGAGTTCGATCCCCTTCAGCACGCACCTGCACAGGCCCCACCCCCAGACTGGGTGTGGGTGGTGCGCACCTGTAATCCTAGTGCTGAGGAGGCTGGAGATAAAAGGATCACTGCGAGTCGGAGCTGCCTAGCGAGACCCTGTGGCAACTACATAAAAAAGATGGGGCCAGGGAGATGGCTCAGTAGAATAAGCGCTTGCCTGGCAAGCACAAGGGCCTGAGTTCAATCCCCGGTTCCGCCAAAAAAATAAAAAAAGATAGCAGTTACTCTGATGAGGTCAAGAGAGACCTGAGGGGGCTGGTGAGATGGCTCAGTGGTCTAAAGCACCTACTTAGAACAAGCTTAGCAAAGCACAAGGACCGCAGTTCAATCCCCCAGTACCACATGCCAGCCAGCCCCGCCCCCTGGTGGGCTGAGCTGGCCACACACACACAAAAAAAAAAGACCTGAGCCACTATCTGGAGTCAAGGAGGGTGGGTCCTTCCACCCCTTGCCTGTCATCGCCACCACAGTCCACCTCCGTGTGCTGTGCAAAACTGTGTGCACCAGTGCTGACAGGTCCAGCACCACATGTGCCTGAGACACTCCCATGACACCACATGGCTCCGCTCTCCCTGTGTTCCCCCATGTACCCAGTGTTCCCCAAGGTTCCCCACCCTGATTGCCACCAGCTCCTCTCTCAGGTCTGGGTTTGGGTCCTGTTCATAACTTCCATCCCAGCCTCAGTGTCCTGTGTGGGACACGGATGGTGACAACAGTGAAGTGGGGCCCCAGGTTCCAAAAGAACCTCATGTTCCTGTAGATGCGGTTGGGGGTCTCCGGCAGACTGAGCCTTACCTGCATCATACTCCCGTCAGGGTCTCTGGGGTTAGCATGAAGGTTGCAGTCCCTGTCCCCAGTGGGCGGCCTGGGCGCCTGCCCCAGGTGTGCTCTCAGGTACAGCCACCATGGCTCTGAGAAGCACCTTAAACTGGATGGGTGATGTCTCCCCAACCCGTTGGAGCACAGCTGTAGGCATCAGGGACAGCACCAGGAGGCATCTGTACATCTCCAGAAGCAGTGGTCACCAGTGGCTGCCTTGGGAAAGCGATCTGTGTCCAGCCCTGGAGTTGGGGGTGGGCGGGGATGAATGGGAGATGGTGTCTGGGGGTCCCATGCTGGTCTCTGTGCTGGTATCTAAGGTCCCATGCCACTGAGGTCTGTGGGACAATGGTGTTGCCCAGCTGGAGAAAGGGACACCTTTCACTTTGCACCCCTGACCCCTTTGTGTGGACCTGAATGTGCCTCATGCCTGTCCCTGTCACACAGGTGGGGATAGTCTGAGGGCTCCTAACTGCCTGATCTTGCAGCTGCATAGGCTCCCAAAAGCACCGTCAACTGAAGCAGCCAGTGGACTTGGTCCAATTTATTCTGTAATGAGAAATTTCGCCCTGCATATTTTTAGCCTCCTGCTCCGTGTTGTGGCCTTTGAAGGCTTAGGGGCTGCTCAGCCTGGCCCTATGCGCTGGCCCTGGGACTGGGGGCAGGGAGGCCCCTTCTGAGCATGGGCCTGCTGCCTGCCCAAAGGAGTAGACCCCGGGGACAGGGCAACTCCATCAGAGATCTAGGCAACCTTGTGACCTCCTGTGTGACCCTTGTCCCCACAGTGAACCTCACTTTTGATTCTTGACTCTAGGAAAAGCCCCCCAATTGATCTTTTACCCCAGCTGACCTGTAGCCTGGGGCAGTACCCGCCAGGAAAGGGACAGGCTCTGGGGTCCTTGGAGCTGTCAACCCTCCCCTCCCCTTGCTGCCTGGCCATCACTCCGCAGTGGCTGGTGGGTGCAGGGCGGTGGAATGGGGGATGCACCACCTTTGTTCCTGTCCCTGATCGGGCTCTGACCTTGAAAGAGAGACAAGAACAGAGGGAAAGCCAAGAGCAGAGCTTTTGCTTGAATCTGTGTGGCGGCAGCGGCAGCGGAGGCAGCCTCTGCTCTCGCCTTGGTGGCCCCTGCATGCAAATGAGCCAACCATGGGCCTCAGGAAGGGACCCCTCATTCTGCACCCTCATGCCCCTGCCCAGCAAGGAGTGAGCAGTGAGACCCCCACCAGGCCCACCACAGGGCCCTCAGACCCCATAATGCCACCTGTACCTTCAGGACACCCCATCCCAAGGTCCTGCTCCAGGATCAGCCAGCATTGGGATCCAGGCAAGCCCTTACCTCAGCCTCCTTCCCTGGACAAGCATCTTACAGCCCTGGGCCCACTCTGCCTTAGTGAGGGCCCTTGTCACATGACTTTAGGCCAGCCCCAGCCCCCTGGGGGGCATATCTCATCTAATTGGAGGAGTACACCTGGCCAACACTGGGCCTGCAAACTCGGTGTTGGGCTGGGCATGGTGGCACACTCCTGTAATTCCAGCACTCAGGAGGCTGAGGCAGGAGAACTGCAGTGAGTTCAAGGCAAGTGTGCACTACACAGTAAAACTGTGTCTCAAAAAAGTCAGGGGTAGGGGCTGGAGAGATGGCTCAGTGGTCTAAAGCACCTACTTGAAACAAGCTTGACAAAGCACAGGGACCTCGGTTCGATCCTCCAGCACCACATGCCAGCCAGCCCGCCCCCTGGTGGGCTGAGCTGGCCACACACACACACACACACACAATAAATAAATGTAATAAATAAAAATAAATAAATATTAAAAAAAAAAAAGTCAGGGGCTCTACAATTAGGTGAAGTCAGGGACGTGGCCTGCAGCCCAGAACAGACAGGCTGGATTCCCTGCAGCGGACAGGCAGAGCCCCTCATCCTGACAGGCAGTCTTGGGGAGAGGGGCAGACCACAAAAGACAAGCTGGGTTTCAGCAGGAAACAAAGAAGGACTTCCAGGCTAAGACAAGAGCGTGGAGGTATGGCCTGAAGGGAGGCAGGGAAGCAGGAGCTCTGTGGACAGGGTCTATTCACCACATCCCCTTTCTATACTGCATCCTTCCCAATGCCCGTGGCTCCCAGACTGGGGTCCCCACTGGCCTGGCGGGTGAATGACAGACCCATGTTGGACACCACCTTCCTGCCAGCCCTTGGTGATACTCTACCCTCCACAAGCTTGGATCTGGTGGCTGGAATAAGGGTAGAAATAGGAGATAGCCAGGTTCCCGGGACAACTCCCTGGGCCGATCAGATCTTGGGTCTTTGCCTGAGCTTCACCCTGCAATGGGAGCACAGGGTCCTGTCGGCTCCTGCCTATCCGATCCGCCTGTTGGCATAGATTTGCTGCCTGGCTTTTTGCTTGGGCCTGAATTTCTCAGACTCACTGTGCATCAGGCCACGCACAATCCAGAGGGAACAGTTCGCAGCGGGGAGGCCCGGGTTTTGGAGGCCGTGGGCTTCGGGCCTCCTGGACTCTATAGAGCTCTGTGCAAAGCTAAGCCGCCTGCTTCCCGGGCTGATTCAGGACTTTTGCGTCCCCGGGGTGTTTGGATGGTCAGTGGCGCCCCTCCTGCTGGGCACAGGGCACGGCTCAACAGAGGGGCCGAGCCCCTCCCAGTGGCACAATGAGGTTGGATCCCAGCCCGCCTCTTTCCCTAGGGCCTCAAAGAGCAGGGTCGCCGGGGCGGGGCGCTGGGGACGCCTCAGCGCGCCTGGGTCTGGTGCTCCCAGGGTTGACCGGGGCGGGGCGCGAAGGAAGCTGCAGCCCCCATACCCTGCGCCCACCCTGCCTCGGTCGGGGCGCGGCGGGAGGGGGCGCCCGCGGCCCGGCCTGAGCTCGGGTGGGACAAAGGGCCAGAAGCTGAGGCAGAGAGTGCGCGCGGCCGGGTCCCGCGCCCGGGGCCGC